TACACTAATACCAATACCAGCAATATCGTACTAGTATCGTTACATCTTTGAAACCCTCCCCCTTACCCACATAGGGAGCAACAAGTTTTGGATAGCAAGCCTAGGCAGAACCGAGTGAACTACGTTCGTCTCAGGTAGCCGAACACCCGATTACATGTCACGGTGTTGAGGAATGACGTTTCTCCGTAAAGATTTATGACGATAGTTCATAAACACCTTTGTAAGAAGATTATATTAGAAAAGCAGGGAAATCGGGATGGTTTCAGCGGATGCTCAGAATAGAATACTTCTTGCTATATCTAATGTAACGTCTGAAGATTGTAATGAACAAAGTTGGTTGTTCGGAAAGTAAGTTTAAGTATCATTTTAGATTGCAAGACTAGCGTATCACTTTATATCCTGCAACAGATGAACAAACCTGAACATACTTACGAACATCCTGTCGTTTTTATTACGAATTTCGGGTCTTTGTCATTACGAACTTCTGGATATTCTGATCCCGGTCTCCAGTGAAATTTCGCTATTCAACGTCTAAAAAGCTAATGTCAGAATTTATTGCGAACTCCTGGACAGACTTCATTCCGAACACCCGGTTTTTTTGTTGTATTTCATTTACGACCTTCGATCCAAACATCCTGTCTTTTTCCTCAGGCCCGGAGATCGTAAAAAAGAGATAAGACGAAATGCAAATTTCGCAAGAGCCTAACAAATTGTAGATGACATTACAGGAAGGGCCCGACAACTTTCAGATAACAACCCCAGGCAAGGCCCGAGCAGCTCTAGATAACACTTGAGCTAGGATCCAAAAAGTTGCGGGATGCTGTGTTAAACAGATTCTTAAAAGTATTGGATAAGTTCGTAAAACTAATCCAGTCAATCATATCTTGCGCGTAAAAGATCTGAGCTCATAGTTTGAAACTGTTGGGTCCTAGTCAATATCAATACCGCTCAAATACCAATACCAACTGTTACAGGCATGTTGCTCACATACCTTTCATATCGCTTCAGCGCTTACTGTCTGTTTTCTCTTTGTTCGTTTTTCGCATTCTCTTCTTCTTTTTCTGTACTGTTTCCGTTCTCTTTCTTTATATTCTTTGAGTCTTTTTGTTTTCTCTCTGTTCGAAGCTGTTTTTGTTTTGATTCATTCTGATGAAAACGAACCTAACGAAAGGAATAAAGAAGAGACCTCTGATACCAATCAATACCAAATAGTATTGGTATTCACGGCATTAGTATTGTGATTAGAGGTGTAAGCCGTACAGCTGAGCCACCGCCGCCACGGAATCGTAGGTAACTTCAAAGCTTTTTCAGCACCCGCTCCCACGAACGAAAACTATTAATAACAGTATAAGGCGCCACCGCCGTTGGCATCAATACATATGTGATCGATATCTTTCTCGTTATTTTGAGGGTGAGTGTGGGTGTAGAAAGCGTCGATGTGGGTGAGAATGAGTTTGGATGGGCTTTCTAAGTGCAAATAGGCGTTCAATCGTTATCTACACTCAGACTCTTGTAAACTTGGAAGCCATCGCCGCCGAAGAAGGTCTTATAAATTCTAGTGGGCGAGAGTCCCCAAAAACTGAAAATCTTTGGCTGCCACCGCTGTTTGATACGCCTAAAATGAATACGCGAGGGCATCAAACTCAGCAATAGTACTGAACCTATATCTCGACGAAAATAGTGTCTAACTCAAAAAAACTGAGCATTAAAACATGATCATCGGAATAAGCTCTACAAATACTGAGAGTTTCACTGAAATTGGCCTCGAGAAATGCTGTGGATACACCGCCTAAAAGACAGAAAAATATTTAACGAGTGTATTAAAATTCATCAAAGTACTTTAAAGTACCTTAAAGTAGGTGAAGTATAATGTATCATGTTTCCCCTTGCCGATAACCGACAGGTTTGGGTATTCATCGTGAAATTCTTTAGTTATTTCGAGGTTTCGTCGCAGTAGCACGATTTGTGGGTTAACTCAACTGATGTAGATCGAGAGCTCGAAAAATTCTCTACTGATATGTTATGATCGTTAAGTTCTGTTTAATCTGCTTGCATGAACCATTGATGGTAATCTTTCCAACCCTGTCGGTTATGATTGAGACTTTTTTTTATATAAATGTGTTCGTGGGATGCATTGGTTTTTTACGTATGTGTTACTGGAATAACGGTTTTTGTTGTTTGGGCGAAATTTGAGTTTTGTTTTCGCTTCGTAACCAGGGAGAAGGTGAATGGTAATGGATAGATACTTGGATGACTCATCTAGTTGATTTTGATTGGTTGTTAGGATAGTACATTATTACGATATGATTGTTAGGATAATGGTTTCTAATTGATGGTCATGATAGCTTCACAGTAATATCTACAACCTTAGCCACACTATGAAATTTAATGTTGCATCAAGCAACACGATTGGTCAGCACATTAGTGCAAAACTAATTTCTCTCGTCGAGATGAAATGATGTTAATGCACTAATCAGCATTGATTTCGATTTCATCAATGAAAAAGAACTAGTGGCGTTCCCATATTTAGTTGTATAAAACAAACTTTTGCGAGATCCCGTTTAAACTATTGGTTTTTTTCTATGGTTAATTCTTCTGCCAAAGTTGAAATAAACAGTTTGCTCTACCTGTCCTTCTTTACTTGAGTTGTGCTCAGGGGCGGATCTACAGCAGACGACGGGATAGCGTCCGTTACTCTCTTTAAAACTGATTTCATGCTATTTTCTAGCGATTTTTCTTTAAAATATTGCATTTTTATTGCAACCGGGCACCGTTTTCGTCTAACCGCAGCCCGCTCAAAAATTTATGGGTCCCTCTCCAGTTGTGCTCACGAACTGCAATTAAAGCCAAGCACTCATAATGGAATTCATTGCCAAAAATAGTTCAACATCAAGCATTTATTCAAAACAAATGCATTATTTCTAGTCATCGACTCTCCGTCAGGGAGATACAATGCTTCATTATGATTGGTGCATTAGTGGTATATGTGAACAGGAGACTATTTAACTCGCTTTTTAATGCGCATTAATTCTAAAGTATGGACATAGTCTATCTAACTAGCTATATAATGACCTAAGTGCTTGAGAATGTATGAGGGTGCTAGACGAAAAATTTCAGAGATAATATCACTGAGATTTGTTGTGGACTACAATTAAATCAGTGATAATATCATTAATCAATGTCAGGTGCTAGTTGAGACAGACGTCAGGATGAGCGACTACACTTGACGTACTCTAAGTAACTTTGAACTACTTAAGGCTACTTTGAGCTACTATATAGCATACTATATAGTACTTCAAAGTAGCTTGAAGTGAATCTAAGTGCTAATGTGACTCAAGTACTTCGATGTACTTGAAATGACTTCTTCATACTTCAAGCTATTTCCACACACTTTGAACTACTTCTAAGAACTTTGAGCTACTTTTGTACTTTGATGTACTTTTCTATTTCAAGTCTACTTTTTTTCTCCTCGGCAAAATCTCAGCAATAATATCGCTGAAATATAGCATGAACTCGTTCTTTCGTGGATATTTCTGTTAGAAACATAAGTGTACTGTTGGGAATTAGCGATATCCAGTAGTTTCAAACTTGAAAGTTGAATTTCAGTATTCAAGTATTCACATTTTGAGTATTCACCTTTTAAGAATTGATCTTTTTTTAACTGATTAAGCTATTGCTCGTCTAGGAATAAAAATCGCTGTATTCACTCTACTCAATGAAAGAAGACACATATCACCCCAGCTCCACACACTAACTTCCAAACTACATGGTAGTACTCTGTTTCACAAAAACAATGCATCACACCTTAACTACTCAATGGAAGTAGCGTGATTTCTCAATTTCATGTATCCAGTACTTTCATCAGCGGGTCTAAAGTCTACACAATCTCTTGACATATTAATTTTCAGAAGGGTAGTACAGTGTACACCGAGACCAGTTCTGATCGTGGCTCTGTGCTAGGATGGGACTATCAAACTGTAAGTTTTCTATTTGCGTTGCACCCTAACTTGCTAATCGCTCGCGCCGATAAGAACATCCGGCTATTTTTCAAACCCATTATTGAATACTTGAAAGTTGAATCCCTGAGGCTTGAATAGCTGAATACATGAATCCATGCTTTAAATTATGTACATATGTATCTAAGTGTCTTGTTTAAGGATGCAGACGCTCCATTTTCTACGACTTCAGTGACAATGACTCACCCTCACCTATTCTCTTTTGCAAAGTGATTCATGTTGATATTGAGACTAGGATAAAATTTCGATCATTATCAGGCCTTTTTATTTTAGTTAAACTCTACAACAATTTTTCATTCGCAATTGTGCTGTCGATTTCAACAAGCACTGCAAGTCGATTGACCTATTACAAAGTAGTCAGTATCTTCGGCAATGGAAAGTTTCGAGTACGCATCAAATCAAGCATCTCGGCCGACTGATATCCAGAACGATTTATCAAGACAGTTGGATGAATTGTATCAACAGTCTCCAGAAAGTTCTCCAACACCAGCTTATGTGCTAACTACTGCTAATGACACTCTGAGTGGTCAAATTAAAGCAAGGTTTCGGGAGGCTAAGAAATGTTATAGTGGTAAACGTATTATACTTATTCCGTATCTACTGGAAAATCATCATTGGACTGGAATTTTAATTGAATGGAACTCGATAGAAGAGATTGAACGATCTCAATTTATTGATCCTGTCACAGGTTCCGACAGTATTCCAGACAAATTACAGAAAAACTTCATCGAAATATTTGCAAAAAATGTCTTACATTCTAAAACTATGTTAAAGCACGAAGATCGAACCAAAAGTGCAATGCTAACCATAGCCAACTTATTAAAGGCAGTGCAAAATTCAGGTTTGCATCAATCATCAAGCCAGCAGAATTTTAGTTCATTGTCGACTAGCGAAGGATTATCAGCTTGGCATAAAGATCAAGACGGTTCTACAACATCCTGTGAAGGTAATCAAATGAATTTAGATGAACTCGAAAAAAGACTCAGTAGTGGCTTAGCGAAATTCAAAATATCTGATATGAACATATTGTCAGACAGAATTCGACGATCAAAAGATCGAATTGAAGAATATCGAGCAACAGAAAGAATAGAGGATGCAGAAAAGGAGATGAAATATTTGAGAGAATACGAAATGTTAGCGGAACTTGCTGAAAAAATCAATCGAGCAAAATCGAATGCTTCGAAGTTAGATACAACAAATTTAGAAAAACAGTTAGCTGATGATCTAGCCAAAATGCGAATTTCAGATGTAAAACTATTGTCTGCGAGAATAGCACGATCCGAAAAACGGATCGATGAATATCGAGAAGAAGGTAGATCAGATGAAGCTGAAAAAGAACAAAAAATTTTAAATGAATGTAAAAGATTACAAACACTTGCTGAAGATATACGTACTCGAAAATCGATGGGTAGCGATAGTGAACAAAGTAAATTATTCAAGCTTAAACAGCTAGAACAAAGATTAACTACTGGTTTAGCGAATATGAAAATTGTGGGTCTTACAAAATTATCAGATAAAATTATTAGATCCGAAGAACGAATAAAGGAGTATGAGGATGAAGGCAGAATTGATGATTTGGAAAAAGAACAGAAATATTTGAATGAATATAAAATGTTACAAAAACTTGCTGAAGAAATTCGTTCTTTAAAACTTGACGTTACTGATCTAGGAGTAGATGAATTAGAACAGAGATTGAGCAGTGGTTTAACTAAATTTAAGATTTCAAATGTAACAGATTTACCCGAAAAAATTCGACGATATGAGCAACGAATAAAAGAATATCAAGATGAAGGTCGTATAGACGAAACAGAGAATGAAATGAATTATTTGAATGAATTGAATAAACTTCAAAAGCTAGCAGATGATCTATCTACTCATAAAATAAAGACATCTAGTCCTTCAGGTGATCCTGAATCCAAACTTCGCATATTAGAAGAGAAACTAGCCGGTAGTTTACTAAAATTCAGAATACCGAATGTATCATTTTACCAGAAAAAATTCAACGATCAGAGAAACGAATTAGTGAATATCAGGAAGAAGATCGAATCGATGAAGCTGAAAAGGAACAACAATATTTAAGAGATTTAAAAGCATTAAGTAAACTGACTGATGAAATAAAGAGTCTAAAAGCGAGTATGGAGAAACCATTTGTAGTTGTTTCACCACAATCGATTCCTATTGTTCTAGAAGTTGTGGATAGTCGTCCGAGTACGAAATATGATTCCGAGAAAAAGAAATTAGATGAGCTTGATATTCTTCATGAAGATTGGACTGCTATGCAATCATGTGCGGAAAAAACTGCCATGCAACTTTGGGAACATTTTCAGCGAATGAATTTAAACGGAAAACAGATTCCATACGATCAAACCTTCATTAACGAGACGTTAAACCAACTACAAAAGCAAATTCAGAAACAAGAATTATTCTCCGAGAAAATTCAAGGAAATTTGCAAGATTTAGAACGCTACGTATCTATTCGTAATATTCCCTTGACAGTACGTTGTTTAGTCGAACTTTTAATGAAAATTCGACCATTAGATGTTCAAGAAGTTGAGCGACTTGTTAAAAAAGCCAAAGATGCTGCTAAACTTATTGCTGGTAAAGAAATAATACTTTTAATCGGTGAAACTGGAACAGGAAAATCAACCACAATACAGTTTCTGACCGGTTCAAAAATGAAACAGATGAAAGTAGAAGTTGAGTCTGGAAAATTCTTGGAGCACATTACTGTAGATGGACCTATTAGAAACCTTGATTTGATGGGTGTAACAAATAGTGCTTTCAGTAAATCAGAAACTCGATATATCGCACCTGTAACAATTCCATTGAGGGATATTTTTGGTCCCTATGAATTCGGAGAAATCATTGTATGTGATGCACCAGGTTTTGGTGATACGGCAGGTCCAGAAGTCGATATTGCTAATGGAGTAGGTGTCATCGAAGCTTTGAAAGGATGCAAAAGTGTCAAAATTCTTGCTCTTTCAAGTTATAAAAGCTTAGGTGATAGAGGACAAGGTATTCAGAAACTTGCTCATCTCTTAATTAATATGATACATGGAATTCAAGAGAGACTTAGCGCCATTCTCTACGCTTTTACTAAATATCCACCAAATATTGACATATCTGCTTTGTTAATTGATATCAAAATTTCTAAAGTCGATACAAATCCTTTGCTACGATCAGATAGTGCGTTTGTAACAGTATTGACAGATATGATCAATAAAACTAAAGTTGGTGCTGAAAATATTAATCCACTTAGTGGAGATCCGAAAAGTCTTATTGAAAAATTGAAGTATCTACGTGGTATTATGTATCCTTCAGAAGTATTTCAATTTTCGATTAGTGAAGAAACTCAAGCTTGTGTCGCGAATCAAGCACAACGAGATAGTTCTAGTGTTAAATGTGCATTAAAACACAAAGATATTGATCTTGTTTTGCACTATTTAGATAAATTAAAATCATTAAAAGGTTTACTTGAAGTTAGTACAGCTCGAGATGCATATAACGATGCAATACGTTCAACAAAAGAAAATCTGACAGTTTTTGTACAGAAGTAACAAAAAAATTTAATCGTTCGTTGGCTAGTCAAGATGGATTAAGAGAAGAAGATATTGATGAATATAGAAATTCGATTCAATATATTCAAGATAGTCAAAAATTAGTCACATACTTAGAAGGCGATCTATTGTCACCTGATTCATTGATACAAAATATCAATAGTGAACTTCAAAACAGAAGTAAAATTTTGGTAGAGAAAGAGTTATATAGTCCTTTGATAAGAGCACAGTGGGCAACTAAGCGGACATTAGGCCAAAAAGTCGATTTTATCTATCTTGAAATACAAATAGTGCAAAATGTAGCTCTTGAAATTCTCTATCGAATGGTGTATAAACGTCTATTGTGAAAC